CTGGCAGGTTGTCCCTGGCAGCCTTCCTGTCTGAGAACAAAACAAACACCCTGCCACCTTCCTGCCGTGCTCCTCTCGGGGTGTTCTGCCCCCTCTGCAGAGCCTGCTTCTGAGCATCCCAACACAGAGGATTTGCCCTGATTATCTGTTCTCTGCTCTTCCAGCCAGATTCAGTGCCCAGACAATAACAGAGCCCCACGGTACAAACCTGCAGTTCCGCAGATGGGTTAGTCCCTCTTGTCATAAACGCTGTAATTAAACATCATTTGCCACCTAAAATTATTTGTTACTGGCTGGGAAGAACTCTCGCCACATCTCAGATCGGGATTTTAACCAGAGACTGGCAATGAGAGTCTAAAAAAAAAAATAAATCAAAATATTTCATTGTCCCCCCTAAACCATGTCTGATTTATAACTTCAAATCATGGAAAGCCTCTTCAGGTTCTTTGGAATTTTAGGGAATCCTGGGAACATCTTCCCTGCTGCCGGGCATTTCATCCCGAGAATGGCAACCAAAGACAGATGATAGATGCCAAGATGACTTCTGTGGCAGTTGTTCTGGGTTCAGCTCCCAAACCCTGTCTCCCATGGAGTTTGGTGCCAGAGATGACTGGAGTGAAAAAGAAACAGAATCCTTCGAACGAGAGTCTTTGGGTTTTCTGTGTCTTTCCAGAGAGAAAAATTAAGGACTGTAAGCTCACGCTGCCAACTCCGAGGTGGGGAATGGTCCCCCTCCCACACCCTCCCACCCCTGACAACATTCTGGCTTTTACCAAGTCCCTAAGAATTGCCCCCCTCCCAGGGAAAAAGCCAATGCACTTGCACTTCAGTATTTCCTGCTCTTCGTCCTCAGAAACTTGGACAAAGAGCATTTCAATAAAAATGATTACTTTGCCCTGACCTTGTTTCCAAACAGTACAGTTTAATTTTCAAAAATGCTTGTAAAAGCTATTGAATTATTTTGCATAAGGACAACTTGATTTGTTACCATGTTACACAAAAAATCCCTGCTTGTGGGGAGTAGAAAATCCAATCCCATCTGCCCAGGTCCCGTTGCTGTAGTAATAAAGCCCCACGGGCATTAAAGGCTTTGCTGCGGTGGATGTGCCTGGCGCAGGGCTCACATTTGGGATTTCTCTTACTTTGTAATTTTCTTTTGATTGTGCCAACTTCTTCTCTAAGTTTTTAAGAGCATATAAATACAATATTCTTTTTTTTTTCCCCAAAAAAAACATTTTCACTTCATCTATTTAAAAATATCTAAGGTTTTTAATTGACTTTTTAAAATTTATTATGCAAACACAACTGCACAGGAGGTTTCTTGGAGTCACTGAAGGGGTACAAGGAAAGGAAAGCTACTTATCAGTGAATTCCTGAGCTTTCTTCTGTAACAGAAGACACCCATAAAGAACACACCAACACCTCCTGAGCTGGCTCGCATTAAGTTATTACTAATCTCTGAATGAGATTCTCCCCAAGAAATAATTAGTTTCATCAGAAACTTCCAGATCATTTGGTTATTCATAGAAAAATAATGATTTGCCTGTTTTTAGATTTTATCCCTCAGTAAGAAACTAATCAATAGGACTGTGGTTTGAAGTTCAATATCTTAGTTATTTAAGGAAATAGCTTCAACTCGCATTTGTCTTAAATCCCTCTGCTATTAAGAACTGTAAATGAACGTCAGACAGATTAGCAGGGGTATATTTGGCAATGGAATATTTATAGCAGGAACTTGGATGCACAGTACATATGTGCAAACCCCTTTTGCCTCGCTGCTAAAGGCACTATGGTTTCCATCCACTTATTTTCAGACAAGACTAACATTTTAGGTAGCTTTTTACAGGCTTAACTTCTGCTAAAGGTCAATTTCCTGGAGGCTGTAAGAGCCCGTTGTGCTGTCCCACTCTAACAGCAGTGTGTCCTGCACTGTCAAACCACAGCTGAACACGACGGTGAAGCCAAGCTTCCCAGAGCTCCAACTTGCTTAGAAACAGCCTTCACCAAGAATCCCTTGGCCAGAGGTGTGGTAGAACACCAAGCCTGAATGAAGCCATCCCAACCTCTGTGTTAATGCACAGCATCAGGCAGGAGCACAGCCAAGACACAGCCACCTCTACCAACATGCCTTAGTAGCTGTGCAGAAATTGAAAAAAAATTAATATTTTCTTCTAACAACAAGCACTCTACTAGACAAAAAAATATAATAATCAGTGTAGTAGTTACCGCCAAAGTAAACCATCCACGTCTCCCCAGAGGTCAACGTGACATAATCAGGTTTTGGCAAAGCTTGCTTGATTTTTGAAAGATCCTGATTTTATATGACCTGATTTTATACACGCTAGCGTTGGGAATACTATATCATAAGGAAAATCTCAGTGTATCAAATCACAATGCTACATGAATATTTATTCCAATTTTAAGTTTAAATTACAAACTTCTAATCCAGCCCGTAAGCAAACATCCAGGCAAATACCCCAAGCAGCACGCAGAACACGTGGGGTGCAGGATTCAATGCTGCCTTTCATGAAGATGGGACCAGCTCTGGGGGCAAGGGAAGGGCAGTGGATGTTCTTTACCTGGACTTTAGCCAGTTCTGGCACATTCTCCTAGCAAAACTCCCGAGATACGGCTTGGACAATACGGGTGGGTAGAAAACTGGCTGGACCACCATGATTGAAGCGTTTTGAGGACTGGTATGAAGTCCTGGTAGTGGCTATAGCTGCCAGGAGTGCTTCTCAGGGGGTTTTAGTGTTTAACATTTCTACTACTGACCATGACTACAGCACAGAGCACATTCAGTAGGTCTGCAGATGCCACCAGGAGACAGGAAGCTGGTGACATGCTCGAGGGCTCTCTGGAGGGTCCTCAACAGGATGCCAGAAACCTCAGGACAGAAAAATGAGACAGCAGTGTGCCCTTGTGGCAGCAAAGAGGATGGCACCCGGGCTCCTTCAGCAAGAGAGTGGGCAAGGGAAGTGATTATTCTCCTCCATTAATCCTCTGTGAGGCCACATCTGGAGAGCTCAGCCTAGTTTGGGGCACCCAGTATAAGTAGCATCTCGGGCTGGATCCAGTCCAGCAGAGGCAGCCAAAACTGTCATGGGGTGGGAGCACATGGATGTACAAGGGCAGACAAGGGACCTCTGTTCAGCCTCAAGAAGAGAGGGGCCTTATTGTCATCTCTATCTTGTGTGAGAGCAGAGGGCAGACAGGGCCAGGCCTCCCGGAGATACACCCAGGCTGGAGCTAAGGGGCACAACATGGAACAAGGAAAATTTTGATCTGATATCAGGAGAAATGTTTTCACCATGAGGGTGATCGAAGGCTGAACCAGGGGCTCAGAGAAGCTGAGGGGTTCCAGCCCTGGAGATCCCAAAGGCCTGGTTTGTTGAGATCCTGAGCCACCTGGTCTACACGGGCCCTGGACTGGACCCGAGATCTCCCAACTGACCTATCTATGGTAGTAGTGATGGCCTGCAAAGCAGGTGACATTAGCCAACAAATGGCTTAGCACAGACATACTTTTTAAAAAAACATTTTATATAGAAAGGTTCTTTAGTCTGATTTACTGTGTAATTACAGCCTTTTCTCTCTGTGTGTACTTTCTCTGGAACTGAAGCTGTAGGAAGCCTGAACAAGGACGAGACTGGTAGTAATGGGAAACCCAAACCACCTCCACCACCCTCACACGTGCTCTCGTGTTGGCCGTATGGAGGATGGTTCTCTTGGGCAGACCATCAGTGCTTTTCAGAGAAGCCAAGGGTGACTTAAGAAAACATTAGTAAGACTTGCACGCAAGAACCCACTGTCAGCGCTGACAAAACAGATGGAGAGATGTTGCACCTTGGCTTTTGTGAAACAATTACGGTGAAGCTTTGATGTCCTCAACCCTTGATAATTTCGCTCATAATTTTTGGCACCTACTTTGGCAGAGTTTGGGGGAGAAGACTGAAGTCTCGCATGGTGACTAACAAATTTCCTCCTGTAAATTATTTTAAGGGTGCCAGATGTTGGTTTAGCACCGACAACTTTGAAGGTGCTTGGGAACCTGCTCAGACTGCTGGTATCAATGCACTGTCACAAAGGGAACTGAACTCACAAACACTTGAAGTGCCCGAGGTGGTGGGGAGGGAAGTCCTCCATTAGAAGAGCAATTCTACATTTTTTAACCTTTTCTTTGCCTCTTGACTTCCCTCAGCTCTCCATGCCTGTACTGTCCCCAGAGTGCTCTCTCTCTGGCAGTAAGTTGCTGACCCTGCCTTGGGAACACAGACTCTCCCAGAAATCAAGAAGGCCACTGTTCTGTGACGAAGCAGAGGAGCTTATCTTAGCTCTGAAAGTCTCTTTACAACTTGCCATTAATACACTTTCCTAGCAAGGAGTACAGCTACAATGTGTCTATTCTCTTCCTTGATAACTTGAATAACTCTAGTTATTCATGAAACTGTGGCAGCTTAGCAACAGATTCTCATGACCTAGAAAACCTCAACACACTAAAAAGCAATATGTGTGGAACATAAAAGAGGAAAAGATAGTGTGGTGAAAAACTGAAGTCTTCAAGTACTTCAACGGATCCACCTCTACACACCTTCTTGTATGTGCCCTTCACTCTAAAGGCTTATCTGCTACTCACAACTGACAGCAAGAGTAATTCCTGTCCCCCAGATGGTTTTCATCCCTTTGTTTGACTGCCTTTCTCTTATCCTTTAGCTCTTAGGAGCAATTAGCCTTTTTAATTAAAGCTTCCCCAGAAAAAAACTCAAAAAGCCTCAATACAAGCCACCTTAAAACAGGCATTACATTCTGGTACAATTTTTTATGGGATTAATTTAATGTACATACATGATACAAAATTATTTCCAATTCCTGTTACACTCTGGAACTTCTAATATCACTCTTGGAGACTTTGCTCCTTGAGATAGAGCACTTAGTATGTTTTAATTAGTCTGGCTGTGCATTAAATACTTGTGCATGTTCACAGCCAGCCAAAGCCTTACCTGCTCGTGTCTTATCAGCTCTATCATCTCCATAACAGCAATAAAATGGTAGCAGCGGTCCGAGTGATCAACCACGTGGGTAGGAAACGGGCGGTTCTGCCAAATTCTCCATTCAGACAAGGAAAGTTCGTGAGTTGCCTCCTCTTGATGCTTCTGCAGTTTAGAATTAAGATTGGCAGGGAGATCTGCATCAAGAAATTGTTGAACAAAACTAACGCCCACTTCTCTGGCAGAGACCATAACCACTCCGAATGCAGGCACGTGTCTAAACGTTATCACAAATGTTTCACTCCGGTTTAAATAAGAACAATTCCATGCTTTGTGTTGTCACTGCTTTTCAAGGAATTTTCAAGGATTGTTGTAAGTGGTGAAATGACAAAAAAGCTCCAAATTTTTTCTCTGAATCATAAAAGAACTTGTAAAACTGGAGCTTTTCTTTCAGTAGCACTTTTATAGTTCTACAAACAAGGGAGTGAAAAAGCGTGGATACAATCCCTCACCAATACAGCCTCCTGCATGGAATTCTTAGAAACAGGGACAGAAATTAATGGACTTTGAGAGATCTTTTAATGTATTTTTAATTTGTAGAGCTAACCTCAAAGACCCATTTCTAACACCTAACTCTTAAATTCTTTACCTCAAAAACCCACACATAATTCTCAAAATTACATTTTTAGTATGTAATTCTCCTTCAAATTCCTAGTTAACTTTGTTAATTAGGGTTTCCCTAGGGCCTCACGCCAAAGGAAACATTGCCATTAGGTTATACTCACTGACACTTCTTCCAGGTTTTCTAAGGTTTCAAACCGAGTTTGAGGCAACACCGGTTCTTTTATTCCATCCTTTTCCTTAATCCTGTAACATCTGTCCCATATTTCAAATTCCTCAGGTGACAGAGACCAGTTCTCATGACGGTGGATTTGCTTTTGGCCTATTGGGGGAAAAACAAGAAGAGGAAACAGGTTATCTATTTGAAGAAAAAGAATACACAGAATAAAAAGAACTTGGTTTGATACCAGTTGAAAGAAAAAATACCTTCTCTGTGCCAGATATGGAGAAGCAACTAGCAAAACAGTGTTTAAGTGTTATAATCATGGATAAATCTATCTAGTAAACCATTTTTGAGGGGGAGGCATCATAAAAACAAAGATACAGATAGAAGACAGATGGACCTAAATAGAGAGAGGTATGTACATCAAATACCCACAGGCCCTGAAGGGAGTATAGCAAACAGGGAAGGCATATGGCTCTAAACACGGGTCTCATAAACCTTGAGGAACAAACTGCAAATAAATGAAAGCTTTTTTATTTTTCCCTTTTTCTTTTTCTTAAGTTACTCTTTAAATACTGGCAAGCAGTATTAATTTGTTATGACATTTTTTGAACTGATCTTCTCTATTAAGGACGTGTAGATGAAGAAAAGGACAGAAAGAAAAGCACTATGAAAACACCCCAGCAGCAAGGAAATTAAAAAAAAAAAAAAGCGGCTCATGAGTTTGATTTTGCCTCCTAACTGCAAGTGGGAAGCAGAGAGCAGCTGTGAGCACCACTGCTGGATAAACCCAAAAATGAGTGCTCGTATGGCAGCTCAGTGAAGCCCAGGGCTGTGTGCTGTGGGCTGGGAGGGATCCTCCAGTGCCACTCCTGGCAGGCTGACAGCAGCCCCGGTGCCACCACCAGCCAAGCAAGTGCCAAACCCCCCAGAGCAGCCAGCCCTGCCAAAGGAGCACCCAAACAATCAGCCTAAGAGCGCGTTAAGAATGTGGATGCTTTCAGCCCAGAGAGACGAAGCCTGGAGAAAAATAATTAAGTTAATGTGACAATCACTCTGCAGACAGGATTTGGGATGAATCTGCAGCCAACACTCTATTCTCAATTAATGCCATGGAAGAGGAATCAGTCTGTACCTCTCAATCCTCTCAAATGACAATTGCCAGGGACTGTGTCTCCACGGGGCAGTGTGACAATGTTCATTAGAGACTGACAATGTTCATTAGAGAGTCAAAACCAGATCCCTCAGAGTACTAGGCTCAAGTCTCGTTCAGAAAAAGTCTCACAGCTGGAAAAAAACTAATCAACACTAAATTAGTGTTGATTAGTTTTCAACGCTTTCTCAAAAACACTAAATTAGTGTTGATTAGTTTTCAACACTTTCTCAAAAGAGAAGAGGAGGCTCCGGGGAGACCTAATAGCAGCCTTCCAGTACCTGAAAAATACAAAATAGAGAGATAAAAGAATCTCAAGTTGGAATGGGATTTTTGCTCTTGCTGCTGTACTTTCGGAAGAAAATCTCATTCAATTGAAGAACACACTTGGTTAGTGATGGGGCAAGACAGCAATGATGTGTCCTTCGGGTACTGACAAAGAGATGAAATTTATGAAATAGGTTTTGAAATGGAAGGATAGTGTGAAATTAATAGAAATTGGATCAAACTAATAAGAACAGGAAATATTTAATTTTGACTAGAAACAAAGCAGAATGCTTGAAATTCCTATGACACTTCTGCCTATGAGACTGCAATTTCTGTGCACATCTGTTCTTCCATGGGCTGCCCCGAGGAACCTCAGAAACAAATGAAAAGGAGGGGAGTGTAAATAAGACAACTCACAGCTCATTTGTTACTGCTAGCTTTTGCAAGTGTCTACCGTGGAAGGGGGCATACAAATAAGGAGAGGAGAAAATGCAAGAAATAAAGACCATTCTTTCTCTTCTTCTTCAGATTTATCTTGAATATTGTTAAAATCAGGAGCAGCCCCTTGCTTCATACAGCAATGAAGCAAATATATACAGTATGTATACGGTAATTCAACACATTATCTTCTTTATGCACGTGCTGCCTCTTGTTTCTATTTTCTAGGACACACTTTCTAAAATGATTACTTTAATTCCATGTTTTGCTCTGCTTATTTTCTTGCAAGTTGTGCCTGTAGATTCTGTCCTCGATTTCCTTCACTGACTCTGCCTGGGCCATGCATGGACTCTTTGGAGGCCAAAGGGAAAGCTGGTGTGTTTCTGCATGATTTTATAGCTTTTTTCCCATCTTTGTGTTCACCCTTTTGGTGGCCAACAGATCAGATGTAGATTTTGCTAATAACAATTTTTGTGACCAGAAGCATTTGGAAACCACTGAACTCCAACCACTCAGGTACTGAAATGCAAAGTTTCCTGAGGCTTTTAGGAGCTGCCTCTTTCAAGAAGTTGCTATTTACAGAAAGCACTTAGCCAGAGAGATCAAGCACGACCATTTCCAAGTATTTACAAAACTTAGCTCTTTCTTCCTATCTTATACTTGTGTTCAGTTCACTGAGCATTTCAGTCCCATGTAACCGCTTCAGCTGAAGAGCCATTTCTCTTTTTGGATTAATTTTCTTCCAAGGGTGTGAGCATTTCATAAATGTCCTACCCTTGCTTTCTCCTTTTCTTCAAAATCCCTTGGTTTTCAAGCATTTCTGCTCTATTGTCATTTATGAAGGAATAAGATATACTTTTCTTGTATTAATAAAAACATTAAGCCTAACTGTTAAAGCTCAAAACCAGATTTGGTATAGAATTATCAGTAAATACTTAGGTGACAATTATGCCACCTGACAGAGAGATATGGCAATTCCTCAGAATCAGAATCAGAATCTTCTAGGTTGGAAGGGACCTTAAAGATCATCTTGTCCAACCGTCAACCTAACTGACAAAAATAGACACCCACACAACAAACAAGGAGCATCATCACTAAACCAGACCTCCCAGCACTACATCAACCCGTCTTTTGAACACCTCCAGGGATGGGGCCTCAACCACCTCCCTGGGCAGCCCATTCCAAGGGCTGAGAACCCTTTCAGTGAAAAAATTTTTCCTAATATCCAGCCTGAACCTCCCCTGGTGCAGCTTGAGGCCATTTCCTCTTGTCCTGTCGCCTGTGACTTGAGAGAAGAGACCGACCCCCACCTCTCTACACCCTCCTTTCAGGGAGTTGGAGAGAGCAATAAGGTCTCCCCTCAGCCTCCTCTTCTCCAGGCTGAATAACCCCAGTTCCCAGAAGACACCATGAACATTTCCCTCCTCCGTAGCTCGAGTTTCTGACCTTCAGTCACTGACTCCCTGAGAAGCTCCATGGAGAAAGATGAAATAAATGTCTGATTGGAAGTGGGGATGTTTAAGGAGAACTGTGACTTCAGTGTGCTAAAGGAAAAGGAGGAGGAATTAAGGCAGCAGGCAGCACGGTGGCACAGCCACAGGTGACAGCAAGGCCATCTCTGCCGGAGAGCCCGCGCTCCCGGGAGCAGGCGGTTCTGATACACTGCAATATAACAACAGGAGATAGCAGCTTACACAGCGCCTAGAGAGGCACCATAATCCTCTTACCGGTGACACAGGAAAAGAGAGCAGATTTGTGCCCCAGGGAACCAGACCGTCTCTCTTTGGAAAACGTTCCGGAATCGCTCGGTTCGTATTTTTCAGCAGTAATAAACATTTTGTGCAGCTTCGGAGTTATGCCTTCTGGAACCATCCGAGGGCTACGCTGGTAGAAGTGAAGCATTTTGTTTCCTGAAATAGCTTTGTGGATGCTCCTTTTGTTACACTGGCTTTGATTGTAGGTCTGTAAAAGAGCAGAGAAATCATATGAAGTTGGATTGGTTTTTCTCGATCAGGAGTGAAAGAACACCTCAGTGATGGTGGAGCTTCTCGTTAGTTTATATTCGCCAGCAAGATGCTTTTTGGGTTTTTTCTTTTTTTTCCCAAACACAGCTAAAACAAAATATGGTGCAAGGCCCCAGAAGCCAACCTTACACCCTCTTGTGTGGATACTGCCAGCTCAGGCAACATCACTGCTTCTGCAAGTTCCTGACTTGCCTCCACAAAGCAGAGAGGGAAGAGGAACAGAAGGACAGAGATGAAAACAACAAAGCAATAAGGCTGTATTGAAAATCTGATAACCTATACATTAAAACCTGGCTACTAAATTGTTTTTTTTTTTTTTGCATTTTGATGTTTGTTTTTTTTTTTTAAAGAGCTTCCATACTGAAATATCTAAGTCAAATGACATTTGAACTACCGTCATTCTGTGCCTAGGTAAAACATTCAAGGCAAATGTAACAAAAAGCAAGGAAATACCTTAAAGAAGTACTAAAAAACAGTGGTCATTCTTCAAGTTGCAAACAATATGAAATATAAACCAATGTACAGCTTTTTTTACGCTCTGATGAAAAGTAGGCCCAGCACTTGAGAGAAAAAAGAAACAGCCCTTGCCTGGGGGAAGTGACAATCTGCAATGGATAGAGGGATGATGTAAATGAGATTACATCACAAACAGAGAAAGGAGGTCACGCAAAAAAAGGCCTAAGATTATTTGTTAATGTCATACATGCTCCAAGTCCTTTTAATTACACTCCGGTTTTATTGTGCAACAGAGAAGCCAAGACAGAGATGGAGAAACTAAGGAAAGTGCCCCCTCTGAATATTTCTTGCCCTAATCCTCTTCTCTGCGTCTCCGTGGCGGGTCACCGGTGCAGACAGTGTGCCCTGCACCTGACAGCGTGGTGGCCACGTCCCTCAGACACAGATGCTCTTTGGAAGCACCTTAAAGTGGTTTGATTCAGAAAAACCCAAAACCAAACACAAATTCCCACGAATTAATATGAGACTGTTAATTACTGAGCTGCAAGTTACGTGATGGGGAAGAATCTCCACGTTAACAGAGCTGGAAGGAGATTCAATTTGAAAAAACAAAAACCACAGAACACCAACAAAAGAAACCCAAGCAACACCAAACAAAGCCAATATTGTTCCTTAATTAAATTTATTTTGTGATCT